ATTTTTTTTTAATACAAGCTTTTTATTAACGACGTTACTCAGTTCTTTGGAATTGCTCGGCTGCAAATGCAGCCATCTTACGAATGCCCACTTTACTATAAGGTAATATCCACGAAGGAAACAACGAGAACACGTGAGGTACTTCTTCGTTTACATCCATTTCCCAGTCTTGGACGCCATCAGCTTTCGCTTTCTCTTTAAGGCGTACGGAGTCTTGATAAAGATAATCCAGCGTAGCAGCTTGGATGAATACTGGTGGGAGTCCACTGAGATGGCAATGCACCGGTGAAGCATCAGCCCATGTCGATTGGTCCGAACACGTCGGATGGTACACAACACGAGCGGCTTCAGCGGTACTGCGAGTGAGAATGCAGTTTTGACCGCTTGCTGGGTCGACACTTCCACTCAGATCAACGAATGGACCTGATACAATAGCCGCAAGTGGCAGTAGATTGGCGCTGGAGTCACGTAGACGAAGCAAAGCTGACATGGCGAGGCCTCCTCCAGCGCTGTCCCCAGCCAGGATCACTTGGTTAGGTGATAGACCTTCCTGAGTCAGGAGATACTTGTAAACTTGTACAATATCTTCAGGTTGTTTGGGGAAGCAGAACTCCGGCGTCTTGTGGTAATTAGCCAGGAAAACGTCAAGTTGTGCATTGCTGTTAAGCGTGACAAACTCCCTCTCGATCGCCGCTCCCAGTGATACACCGTAGAAGCTGTAAAACCTTGGACTCAGTAGTGAAAACGCTCCACCATGGACATACATGACCACCAGCCGCTTAGCGTTGTTCTTTTGGGTAGTTTTCGGTCGAAGCCACAAGTGTTCTAACCCGTTGAATTCGATACTCTCCATGGATCGGCCGTACCATCGGCAGTAGAACCAGCCGAGAACTGAGCCGATTGCCTCGCTCTGAGCCCGGATGATCTGAGCATGACGAGCGTCCTTTACCATACGCTCCCCGTACAGCTCGTTGACCGTTCGAATCGCAGCACGGAAGATCTCGAAGCGCAGTGTCCACTTGGGGAACCGCGGTCGGAATCCTCGAGATATAAAGTGTACAACCGTCCACACGATTGCTACTGAAATCTTCGCCACGAGTGACACTGCTTCCCACGGAGAGCGGCACACGCCACTTAAAACTGCGTTGAGCCCCACTACTACAACCGCCACACTGGTGCCTACAAGGAGCGAACTCCACAGGATCGCTTGCTGGTCGGCCATGGTGATCGTCGCTCTGCCTCAAATACTCAAACACTTGTGAGCGTAAACAATTCTTTGCGATGATACCACCAACTCCCACCAAAAGTACCGTCGTGCTGTAAAATAACAGTACTACTCTAACAGCAGCAACATAAACTCTAACCAAATATTTAAAGGGATCCATGCACGCACCACTTGCTGCTCCGCTGTATTCATGTTGTCTGACTGCTTAACGTATCCTTCGCTCTTCCGCGCAGCATCCGCTACTTCTATTCGTCTTTGGTCTTAGAGGACGCATCACCGTACATTTCGCGGAGCTTTTTCAAACGCCCCTCCGACTCGCGGGGTTTTCCAGGAGACGGAGAGTTGCTTCGAGGTCGCTCATCGCCCTTCGACATACCTGGCTGCACCACCACGACTTCCTCTCGCTTCGCTGGACTGCGCGATCGTTTCCTTGTGGTCCAGCGATCCAATTTTAGCGACAGCGAGCCCTTGTAGCTAGCAGGTCGTGACGCGTAGTCACGTCCGACCGCCTCAGCCTTGCGTCGTTCACGTTCACGTACTTGTTGCAGCAAGTCACCAGTAATGTCACCGCCACTGCACCACAACGAATAGATCAATTAAAATCAACCATGCTACATCAAGACTCCTCTTACGAACGTACCCTGCCTTGCTCCGCGTCTGACTACGACTGCGACTGAGACTGCGACTGCGGTCGCGTCTGCGTCTGTCACGCGAAGCCGATCGAGATCTGCTGCGTGAACGACGTCGAGTACGCGATCGCGAGCGGTCCCGACGGCCACGACGCCGGTCACTATCTCGTCGACTGTCTCGATCCCTGCTTCGATCTCGGCGACGGTCTCTATCGCGGCCTCGGTCACGTCCTCGAGAACGTGAACGAGATCGTCCAGTGGAGCGGGAGCGCGAGGGTGAGCGCCCACGACGTTGCTTGCCTTTGTCGAATTCAATGTCTCCAAGACTCACTTTCTCCGAGTTTCCATACGCTGGAAACGAGACCTGATAGAGTACAATTTACAGTTAGTGACACACTTTAACTGTGCTCTATCTGAAATAAA